AGTTAATTTTTCGATGTTTTCTATGATTTTAGTAAATTTTCTATTTTACAGATCTATTAAGTCAACTTATTCTAGAGTACTTTTCGGTAATAATAACAATATTTTTTAATGAACCATGATATAAACACGATATAAAAGTAAACATTAAGATTAATGATATAAAAATATTACGATGTGTACTGCCGTTCGAACGGTAAGTTATTGTTTAAATAAATTTAAAACAAATTGTAGATATGAGTGCAATTTCTATATTATTTCGAAGTCCATCTTCGCTATTTGATTTTAGTTTTGATACAGATAATAGCGTACACAAGAAACAGAGTTAGAATCTCTAATATAGTGTCTAGTGTTAAAAAAGTGTTCCTGTCTAGTGTTAAAAAAGTATTTCATTTATTAAAGGTAGGTATAAAATATTGCATTTTGAAAATGGTATTGAAAATAACAACTACAAAATTCTTTTTATCTGATTTAACTTTTTAAAACTAATGCGCAATTGAGTTTTTTTTAGTCTCTAGCGCTGCTAAAAGCCCCTCCAAAATAATCTGCGTTTATTGCTTTTAAATAGCTTAGATTTTTCGTTAATAACAGATTAAATTTGAAAAAAAAAAAAAAAAAAAAAAAAAAAAATAGCTTTCGCTTTGCCGTATTTCCTGGTCGCTGATTGCTATGCCGAAAGGCCCGGGTTTGAATCTCGGAGAAGGCATGAATGTTTATAAATGTATAGTGCCTATGCGGCATGGGGGTATGCTATATGTGCGGCGAGCCGAACGTCCTCTGGAGAGGTTGATGGTAGAGGAAGAGGGGTGGGAGACCCTCGGACGAGCCTCCCCGGTGTGCTCTCCATCCAAATTGGGGGCGGAAGTGAGCTAAATCGCACTGTCACCCGTAAGGTGCCCAAGGCTGTTGCTAACGACAGACGTAATCTTAAAAACCTCAGCAAGCTGTACGTTGTAAATTGCTCTCAAAAGAAGAATGAAAGTCGTGAAACTGAAGTGGCAATTATGGACAAAACATGCAAATGTAAAACGCAAACCTGTTAGAAGTTTCCATTTAATGTATCTAAGAATCGAATAAAGAAATAAAAGTTGTTTCTAATGTAGATCCAGCTATTAAAAAGGCCTGAGAAGCTTCCTGTATTGCCAATCATTATATGGCGAAAGGCGGAATAACTATTCTGTAGGCGTGAGTGCTTCGTACTTCCAGTTTGTGAAAAATCAACTAAGGACATTCATTTAATATCATTCTCAAGTACCGTTACACAATAAATCAGTGTCATGGCTAAGAACGTAGAATCTAGAATTATCGGTAAATCAAAGGATGTCATTTTGAATGATGCTCAATTGTTATGTTTGGTATGAATTTAATAATACCATTTATGAAGACATTATTTTAGAGGATTCTGCTGACTGGAAAACGTATAGGCGTTCGTTCGAATGGGTTCGTGCGTTTGCCGGCAGGTATAATGGCGTTGTAGCTAGAGTTGTGGTACCTAATATCAGCTGGATATCTTGTTTCATTTATAGAGCAGCTTCGGCGACCAATCATATGTCATCTAAATTCATAACCGTATTAGAAGACATCCTTAGAAGGTAAAATCTCTAAACAGTAAAATATTTTTATTACTATATGCAAAACACAACAGCTTTGTCTTTGTTTCTGAAGTTCGCTGGGTTTTCACCGGGTAAGATACAAGAACCTTGGAATTCAGACAGGGATTCTTATTATTTTTGAACGAAATTAGCAAAGATTTTCAGACTATTTAATTGATAACATTTGGCTAAGCACACCTTACACAAACAACAACAAAAGGGGGGGGATCAGTTCTATACTTCCTATTCTACTGGGCTTATTGACTGTATTGAACTTGCTTTTTTCATGTTTTGAAAGCACGGTTTAGGATATATGTTAGATTTTTATGTATAACTGCTCTAACATCTATATTCTGACACAAAATCGGACTTTTTCTGAAATAATATACCGATTTTTTCCCATATTTTCGTTCACGACTCAAATTATGCCCAAATGTTAAATTTTATATTAATTTGGTAAGAAACGTACTACAAATTAAAAAAAAAAATATCTTGGCGTACTTTTTTCAATTTGCGCCGAGAATAATTAAGTTGACGAAATTCTTAATTTATAGTAACCTACTTTCCTTTCCCTTTTTTCCATTGTACATGAGCGGAAAAAAGCCGCATCGTTCTTTCAAATAATCTTAAGAAAGTGCGTAAAACACATTTGGCGTTATCAATCACTGATAACAAATATGCCAAATTTAAAAACGCTCCATTATTTAAATTTGTGTTATAAGATACTTTCTCCCTCTCTCTTATGCAGTGGTAGCACATTAGGGGGTATTCGAGAGGTCCAAGTTCGAGTCACGGCGAGGGCATTGCTCATTTTTCACATTTCCTGCTTTAAAATAACCTAATAACCTACAGTGACGTCAGAACTAAAAGGTGGCGAACAATAATTCCTCAGTACCAGAATTCATTGATTGTGTCTACGCATTCCCAGTCACCTTTTAAAAGGGGAAGTATATAAAGTATTTTCTCTCTCCTTCCAGTACGCCTTCGTGGTGTAATAGTACCACACTCGGTGTATATTCGAGAGGTTCAGGTCCAAGTCCCAGCGAAGCAACTGCAGATTTTTCACGTCTCGTGCTTAAAAAAAAAAAAAAAAGGCTCTTGAGCGGATATCTCATGAAATTTTGAATTAAAAACTCTAATCTTTTTCAAGCACGTTTAGAAATACATATATTTTAAGGTGATGTTAAATTTTATAGGTTATAACTCAAAACGTTTTCGGAAAATTTATAAAAATTACTAAAAATTACGAATTGAAAAATAAATAAAAAAATATCTGCGAATTTTATTTGGATTGAACTTGAATTTCGCATTTTAAAAGAAGGAATCAAGTAAGTTTAATAAGAAAAGATGTGTTAGTAAATATATACCAAATTCACTTAACATCGAGGAGCTAAAAATTTAAAAGCTATTTTTTAAAATACTACTCGTGCGGTTTTTATGAAACTCGGCACTCTGGCATAATTTGAGACGTAAAATCGAAATATGGAAAAAGAAAATAGGTATGTCATTTCAGAAAAAGTCCGATTTTATGTTAGAATATCTATGTTAGAACAATACTATTTGTAAATCTAATATATGACCTAAGTTGCGCTTTCGAGACGAAAAATCCAAGTTAATTTTTGTCAGTCAGCTCAGTAGAATGGGTAAGATTTCTGATTTTTTCTTTCTTTCCGTCCCCCCCTTTTTTTTTGTTCTTTTTGTTCTTTTGTTCTTTTTTTTTTTTTTTTTTTTTGTTCAGAGTATACTTGTCATATATTTTAGATGTATTATCAAAACTAAACGAACTAAATCTCTATCTACAAGGTTATTGCATGGCTGTTCTGGAAGACCCCACGATGAAATAAATAGGTCCGAGGAAAAACTTGAGTTGCGAGTTAGCTATGTAAAAGAGAAATTTTTAAACATTTCCAACTTTGAAGTCTTTTTTTAGTAGAAAATGCTATAGTTATTGGAAAAGAATTAAGCGGAGCCATTTGTTCGCGTCTCAAAGCTCTGAAACTACAATTTAAAACTTATTTTCTACGTGGTAAATGTAACGAGTTTTCATTGGTTTGTGATCCTTTCCAGGCCGATATTGAAACTAACAAACTGTCGTTGAATGAATGAGAACAGTATATTGAATACAACGAACTTAACTTCGACAACGAACTTAAAGAAATTCCAGGTAGGAGGTTTGATTAGTTTCTGGATTTCATTAGTGAAAAGGGAATATAGTGAACAGTGCAATAATACTTTAAGAATTACAATTCAATTTTGATTTTATGTCTGGCGAGAATGGGTTTTCATTACTAGCTCGAACAAAAGCAAAGTACCGAAATCGACTTGATGTATGTGTCTGTCTCAGTTAAGGTGATTAGGATGTATCGAAAGACAAAACAGCTGAGTTAGAATCAGCAAGCTCATCCATCTTATTAATGAGAGCGCCAACATGTGTTTTAGTTGCCAGTCATCCTTTTAATTCTTGTAAGCTATTTATTAATTTTATATAACTAATGATGTTATGTTCTATAAATGTCTGTAATGTCATTTCTCCCTTTTCGTTTTCCTGCCGAAATGCTAATTTTAGTTTACGCTTATTCAGATTAGGTCGAAAGAGATAGTATTTAAAAGCAGGTTTGTTCAGATAGAGCGTGTTCCGCCTGTTGAAGGCCACGTTACTAATTGAAATTCTATGATATAGCAGTCTGTCCTCAGCGTTTCTGTATTCTTGGCAATAGCGTTTTTCATGACGGTATAGGCTTGAGCCAACTTGCACGTTAATCATTTCTGTATAGTCTCTGGGCTGTCATAAGTTTTAATTCAGTTTAATTTGAAATCCTTACGTTTCGAGATACGCCATAAATGCTGGCTGGTTTTGTAAGCACAAGAAGTGGCTTCTGTTTAACTATTTGAATTTCTAATAAAAGGGTCGTTTACACGTTTCTGTTTCATTAAAGAGCGATAATTCGCTTAGTTCTTCGTATTTAGGTTAAATATTTACAATTAAATACATTTCAGTTATTAACAATAAATTGCTGGAAGAAGACATTTGTAGGATATCAATCTGCAAATATTTCTTCTATGAAACATTAATTTTCTATCAGCCTTAGAAATTCTAAATTAATTTTAATGATAATATTCTGCTTTCTTCGGCTAGTGGGGCACGAATGACAAAACGGGGGGGGGAATCGATTCGCTGTGTGCTGTGTGCTGGTGATTCGATACGGGTTCAAATTCCAGGAAACGGTGTGGCTGCATGGAAGTTCCAAATGTATAGCATAAATATTAGAGTTTGATGACCGCACCGGAACTGATTCAAAGAACTGATTCTCTTTACTCAGGAAATGTGCAACTGATTCCAGAAAACAAAGTGAAGACGCTTTTACAGTTTACGGGAAGTTCTTATTGGAAGAAGAATATCAGGAATAAAGATGTGTTATTCGTTTAGGAATTGATTCACTTTGCTCAGCTAACGAACGACTGATTCGCCAAAAAGATAGTAGAGCTCTTGCTGGAAGCTTGCCGAGAAAGTTTGATTCCCAATTTAGTGGAGGATAAAATGTTTTTTCTCCCACGTTAAAAGTGAGTATAATTTTTATATTTTTCAAACTTTTTAGTCCAAAGTGGCAATTTGCCCTGAAGGACACTTAATTTCGTTTTGCCATTTTGCTTTGAGAACTTTCAAAGGCTGTATCGCTTTTCAAATCGTTGACATCATATATTATCACCCTGTCTTATATTTAAAGCGTAAAATATTATATATTGCGGTAAATATTAAAGAATCTGCATAAATGTATGTATGTTTCTCGCAGTGTGATAAAACAACGGTACCTAGAGCCATCCAATTTTGAATAAGTTATAGAGACATTAGGTTAATTTGAAAGGAGGCAGGATGAAAAAGTAGCAAACGTCTTCGCCGGGAATCGAACCACGTACCTCTGGAATAAAACACCTTCAGACGTAATTTAAAATTTGAATCCTTTCAGATTTTTTTTTAAAATTTAGTTTTTTTCTAGAATATTACTATTGTTAGTTCTGAGTAGAAAGGAGGTTTCAGGAATCTCAAAATTACATTTGAAAGAAATCAGTTCTGGAAGTTAGTGTTTGATTGAGTCGACTCCTTTGATCCATTACTCTCGCCATTCATTTCGTTGTTCGCTCCAATCTGGCTAACCTTTAATAACCCCACTGCTTGTTCAATTCTTTCCGCACTTCATGCCATCCTCGCTAACTGCTTTTGATTTACTCCTCGTTCTTGATGTTTTCTTAGTGAGCTGTGAATCATGGAAAAGAGCGAACGAACGGTTCTGATCCGAATCCATGAAAGAGCGGTTTTGGTCATCTCTAATGAATACAAGCAGTTTTTCGTAAGAACTCCTCCACGAAGACATTCTTCCCTGAGGCAGAAGTCTCTTGCAAGCATTATCGTAACTGACATAATTCATTCCAAACCAATTTCCAGTGCCAGTTTACCTAGTAAATTTCCCATTTGAGTGCAGCTGCACTTAATTCACATTGAACGGAACTGGGCTTGCGGTCTATAGGAATATCATTATGATAATGCAAGTAACCATGCAGATATATTGGCTAGGCACTAGTCCAAAAATTTGGTATATGATTCTAGGTATTTGTAATTGGGCATTGTCTTTTTTATATAGCAACTAATATAACTATCTTTAAATACGCTATGCTCAATAAACGAAAAAAATGCCACTTGATTTTAAACTAAACTATCATTCTTTTTTCTTTTTAAATTTAATTTAGCACATTCATTCAAAATTTCTTAAATCGTAGAAATTATTTGAAAATTTTACTCTTCGCTATTGAAGTCGAATTGTAAGTTTAATTTTATTTATTAGCACAAAAGGGCTTCAGCCCGAGTGAGCTATTAGTCTCGAAACGGGCCTATGCGATGAAACGGTGCATAGTACTACAAAAGGCGAATCACTTTTCCAATTATTGCCTCCGAATATAATCACCTTGTATTATTTTTTAAAAAATTAAGTAATGAAGAATCTGGATGAATGTATGTATGTTCCTCACATTCTGAAGAAACGGCAGTACCTAGGGCCATCTAATTTTGAATAACGTAGTCCTGCACCCTAGCATGTGCACCTGGAAACCTGAATTTTGAATTTCGAATTTTATGTTTAATATTTTGCAAAACTGTAATGTATTTTTGATTAACAAACTGAATTATTTTATAGCGAGCAATGGCAACGCGGAATAAAGCATTTATCTCCAGCGTTCGAGAGTGCAGATCCGATATTCTAAATATAAGCTGTTTTTAAATATTTTGTGATTTTGCCGTTGAATTGGATTTTATGTGGTATAAGTGTTAAGAATACGATATGTAATTAATAAGTTTAACACATAAAACATAATAAATTTAACACATAAAGAGAAAAAAAAAATTGCAAGCCATCTTAACTAAGGAAACCGAATATTGATTTGATGAACTCAGAAAAGACCGGAATATATATATATATATATATTTTAATACAAGCACTTAACTCTGCATCGGAAATTCTAAGCATATGCTGTTTTTAAAAGTTTTGTAATTTTTTTGTCGAATTGTGTAAGGCGTAAGTGCGAAGGAAATGATTTTTGATAATAAAGCTAAAAAGACAAAAAGAAATGGATTAGCAGGAGTGAGTGCAACAGTAGACAGGTAGACTGCGAGCTTACCCAGAGCGCTGAAAAACCTTAGCAACACCTTTCTCGGCAACCGTTACAATCTGAACACTTTCAGACCTTTTCTTGTTTTCTATTTTTACTCGTTTATTTTCTCCCAAGTATTTTGTTGAACTAGTTCTTATTGTAAGTTCTAGTTTATTATCACGCTTCCTTTTATATATCAAGCTTTCGACAGAACTTGCGAATACCAAGCTGAAATAATAGTTAAAATACATGTGCGCAGCGCAAAATAAGGTTAATTGATTTGACGTTAATTATAGCAAAGTGCTTCGGCAATCGACTTTTCTTTCCATTTATTTGGCTGATTTGTTGGTTTACGTGATCGGTCTGATATAAGGAAAGAACAGATTCTTTTCCAGAGTTTAAAAAACTCGGATATTACTGAAATTTGTTTCAGACACATTTAATTTATGTAGATCAAATTTATTTGTAGACAATCTAAATTAGAGTGAAAGAAAAGCAGCTTATGTCCTATTTTTAAGTTCAAAATTTTTATTTTACATATGTTTTATAAGTAACTTATTCTTGACGATCTCACTTAAAGTGGCAACCCAGCCCTGATCGAAAAGCTCGTTATAGCAATAGCTTCTCAAAATTTAGGTCAGGTTGTAGAGTCTTTAGGACTTTTTTGAAACAGGAGATGGGGAAAATGAGCAATGTCCTTTCTCGAACACGCGCCGAGTTTGCCACCGCTACATCACGAAGGCCCGCAGAAAAGAGGAACAAAATACCTTATATAATCCCCCTTTTAATGGACGACTGGGGTTTAAAGGATCCAATCGCCAAATCTTGATGCTGAAGAATCATCATCCAGCACTTTTTATGTCAGGCGCCACTGGTCATTAGGTTATTATTTTGAAGCAGAAGACATGAAAAATGAGCAGAGTCCTCGACGGGACTCGAATCTAGACCTGTCGAATACGCGCCGAATGTGCTACCGTTACACCACGAAGGCATACAGAAAGGAAGGACCTAGATGTTTGTAAATGTATGGTATGTATAATGAGGTAATTAAAGAGGCTGACGGTAAGGGAAGAGGGAGTACAAGATCATACTTCGTCTTCCAGGGGTTCTTCAATCAGAATTGAGACGGAAACAGACAAAATCATATCGTCACCATTATCTGCCCAAGTCCTTGGCCAATGATAGACCCTCTGTTGAACCACACATGAACATCCCACGGTAGGGGGTTAAAAATAACAATTAGTACTAACAGTATTATCGAATATGTATTTTAATTTTGAGTGATACTCGAAATAAATTTAACTTCATTTTAAAAGAAAATTGTGTTTATTAAGTAGTTTATTAACGTGATGACACACTAAACTGAGTCGTAAAATTGTAAACGGCAGATAGATAATAAACTGGTCCTAACAAAATACTTTAGGATCATATAAATATCTGATGTATCATATAAAATTATGATACTTAAATACAATGTATTCTCCCCATGTATAACTATCAATCAGTACTGATATTCTGATGTTTCAAATGTTTAATATACTAGACTAGAAGAGAAACACGCTAATGTGACAATCAAAATCGTAAAAAACAACCTTATATTTAGCGTAGGTATAATGAAACACTCAATCGATTTCGAGGGCAGCTAAAGGTCCCTCCTCATCAGGAGAAAGAAATACATAGAAAGAAGAAAATAGGAATCACAGAAACACGTGGTGCTTATCAGCACTGCACGTGGTTATAACTAGATTTTTAATCAGAGTTGCACTGGCCGCCTACTTTTACTGAGCCAGGCTTGTCTGATCAAGCATAAAGAAATATTAGCGAAGTTAAATAGGGAGCGAGGGGCAAATGCACATTACGCTCAAAATCTGAACTTCAAATAAACTGAACGGATTTTTATACCCTCTGGTAGTACCAAGTGCGAGGAGGTAACACCATCTATCGGCAAAAATAATTGAATTAAGACAGTAGAATTTTAAAGGCATTAGGAAGGACTGGATTGGACTTCAAATCATTAACTAAACTTTCTAAATCTTTGTGAATGTGAAAAGCCTCAAGAAAATCCAATTCGCCTATGGAAGAAGCCTTTTGGATGATTTTTGCAGACCCAAAATCAAAATTATGGTTAAAAGTCCAGCTATGATACGCTATTGAAGACTTGTTAATTTCCCCTTTTTTGACATAAGATTCATGTTCTTGATACGAAACTCAACGCTCTTTTTGTTGGCCAATATATCTTAAACCACACTGACATGATATACTATAAATTCCCCAAGAATTCAAGACAGAAACGCAATCTTTTAGAATCGAAGGGTGAATTTTATTAATAGGGGAGAAACCGACTTGAAAATTGAATTTCTGGAGAATCCGTGCAATTTTATAGCTAACAGAAGGATAAAATGGAAGCACGACAAGGTCATTAATATTATTTCTAACAGTGGAATGTCTTCTTTGATGGGAATCTGAAAATTTATCCGAGATTCTATCTATTATGAATTCAATTGATCCAGCCATCCAATTCACTCTTGAAATTGAATCCAAACAATTCCATCCCCTTCCTCCGATATTCTTATAAGCCGCAATGAAACCGATTTTAGCACCACTGTGTACCGTAAACCCTTTGCAGTTTGTTTACCACCCCATGCCAAGTCATGCCACCCTGTACGCAAAAAATGGCTTTTTTTACTATTATGTTTTCCGCGCGCTAAAAGTTTGTTCCTCTGAATCTTTGCTTACCAACGAACTTAATTAGTTGAGAGCAGTTGCGATGACCGTGGATTTTCTCCCGTGATTATGATAAAGCCGTCAAAAAAAAAAAAAAAAAAAATTCAGATTCCCATCAAAGAAGACATTCCACTGTTAGAAATAATATCAGTGACCTTGTCGTGCTTCCATTTATCCTTCTGTTAGCTATAAAATTG